CATCTCACTCTCTGAATGTGAGGTTCGCAGCGGCCGTCTTTATTTCCGAGATAGACTCTATATGCCTGACAACGAACTGAGGCTCCTACTTATACAGACCGCTCACAACAGCTACGAAAAGGGCCACCCTGGAAAGGATGCTCTATACCACACTGTATTAACTCACTACTGGTGGCCACGCCTCTCCCAACAAGTAGAACAATTTGTGAAAAACTGTCACAATTTTTTGAGAAATAAAGTGTCTCGTTTAAAGTATCAAGGAGCTCTAAAACCTCTCCCTCTCCCAGATCAAAGATGGCGCGACCTGTCAGTAGATTTTGTTGGTCCATTGGCAGAATTTAAAAATTTCAATTGCATGATGGTTGTGGTTGACTGCCTCACTAAGGAGCGACACTACATACCTTACCATACTAAAATGAAAGCAGAGGAGCTAGCTAAAATATTTGTTCGCGATGTCTGGCTACTCCATGGCTTATGTGACTCAATTGTGTCCGACAGAGGCCCAATTTTTGTAGCTGAGTTTTGGAGAGCAGTCTGTAATTGCCTCCAAATAAAAGTTTAGCTATCTACATCCTACCATCCGGAGACAGATGGCCAGACAGAGAGTGCTAATTCATTTATGGAGCAATACCTGAGGCTATATATTGATTACTCTCAAGAAGATATTTACGACTGGCTACCTATGGCTGAGTTTGTCTCAGGGATGAGGGTTTGACGGTGTTCCACGGGGTGCGTTGTATAGCCTAGTGAAGATCTAGGTGGTAAGTGAAGATTATAAATGGGTCAAAGGGATGACAGGTCTTCTCTAGGAAGAGATGAATGGGCAACTAGTTGCAGTAGATGTTACACGTGGGTCTTGCTGATGAAGAACTGGGCAATGGATATATGATCTTCCCGAAGAAGAGATGGGTGAACAAATGTATTGTAAAGGGTAAAATAAAGAAGACGTTGCGCAAGGAGTAAATCTCTCTCACGCCGAACTATTATATACAAGAGTAGAAGCCTTTGCCAACCGGAATTAATCGTAATCAATTCTTGCCAATATCTTCGCATTGATGGCTGTGTTCTTGTCCTTCTCTTCATGACTCTCTTGCATATCCTTACATGACTTTTTACACGACTAATTGTATAGGGGAAGCTATTATTAAATTGATGGTTTTAATTAACTACCCCTTCATCTTATCACGAATTAATATTAGTATTAAAATTCTATTTACGGATCCGTGAAAGTTTGCAGCCAACAACGCAGTCAATACTTCTACACAAGTGACACCGTTTTTTGCAAATAAGGGGTTCCACCCACGAATGAGTTTTGGACCCCCACAGGAAATCCTCAGAAGCTCTTCAAAAAGCCTTCGTAAACAAATCACTGCTGGAAATGACTTTGCCTCCAAAATGGCTGAGATTCTCGAAATACTACGATCCAATCTTACATGCGCCAGAGATAAACAGGTGAATGCTTCAGTATCAAATCGCTCGCCTGCACCAGCATACCGAGTTGGCGACGAAGTCTTTCTTGACACTCGTAATATTACTACTTCCCGACCAATTGAGAAACCCTACTGCAAATTCATCGGACCATTTCGGGTGATTAAGATACTTAACTCCCACGCCTACAAGTTACAGCTCCCATTTGAATATGAAAAATTACACAATGTTTTTCACACAAGCCTCTTGAGACCAGCGCCCACAAATCCGTTACCAGGCCAGGTAAATCCTCCACCTCCACCAATTGCACTCGACGAATCTGGGGAAAAGCTGTACGCTATCAAAGCCATACTTGACTCAAAACGTGGTAAAAACAAAAAAACTTTCAGTATCTGATACTCTGGAGAGGCTATGATTCAGAAAATCAGACATGGGAACCACTCAAGAACGTTGTAAATGCGAGTGCCTCGATAAAGGAGTTCGAACGACGCTTTCCTCACAAGATAAAGCCGAGTAATTCTGAGATTGAAAGAGCACGCAATCTAGCAATCAAGTCCACTTCTCTGATACCTCTCAATAATTCGTGAGGTGCCCCGAGACGGGAGTAAGGTGGGACCATATGTTAGGGTTTTGCTACATTTAGATAGGGTCACGTGTGATTAGGGAATCGCGTAGAGCGCAAACGCGTCTGTATTTAGTTACTCTCTAGCCTCAGGTGGACCACCTTTCCTCCTTGTAGACAATCTCATTCACCAGATTTGACCTCATCAATCTTCCACGTACCCATACCTTGACAGGGAAGATCAACAGATACCAGAGCTCGGCGTAAGCGCACACTCAGAGATAGATTCAACTGTGTTGTCTTTCCCGACAAGGTAAATAGGTCCCTACACAAAGTCATCCGGTATTCGAAATCTTTGGGGCAGTCCTGAAAGAGCAGGTTATATCCCTGTTCCATGCGCTAAATCATTTCTACGGCAGCCTGACAAGCCTGGTTATCTTGAAATTGTACGCAAAGATGATCTATAAACTCTTGCCAGTCGAATATTCCATTGTCTACAGAATCTTTAAACCAAGCAGCGACCCGTGGCATCTTTTCATCTGGAAGCGTGTCTATGATGTCCAAGTAGATTTTGCTGGCATCTATTCCAAGCGCTTCTTCCCTTTCTATTCTCACCATCAGTCGTTGAACATAAAATTCAAAGTCTTCTTGTCTGCTGTTCCACTTTGGTAATACCACTCGTGATATCGACATAATGGGACTTGCGCCTGTAGGTAATATGGGAACATCCTTTCCTTTCAATTTCGCTGGACTTGGGGTGGACTCTCGGGCACGTCTCTCTCTCTCATGAGAATTGCCATTTCGTGGCACTCGAATTCAGGGATTTCGGCCCATGAATCCGCAAATATCGACCCTTCCATTACTGGGTTGCCGTCGTGGTGTTCTGAGTTCAGCAAATACAACTCTAGATTAGAGTAATAAAGGTCGTTAAACTTTGTGATATCCGATTTTCGCTCAATAGGATTTATAATAAGGACCTAGAATAATTCTCCGGGCTACACTCCACGGAGGGATTAAAAATAATTGGGATAGAAAATATATGTGACAGGCTAGGACTTTTGGCCAATGCACAAAAGCAATGCCAGAATTAAATGTTTATATTTTCTATGAGGAAATTACGAGCGGGAAGCAACAGCTCTTTAAAACTACAATACATATTCCAGATACACTTGTCCTTTACACGTGACCTGATAAAACTCCTGTACTGTTATGGCTCAGTATGACTGCTACTCAGTATAATGACTTTTTGTTGTGGCTATACCGCTGTGCCATAAACACTGTCCCTAACTGTGGAGGCCTTATTATATCAGGCGCCGACATTTAGTTGAGTCACGCTAGGCTGTACAGTTGTACTTAGTCAGGTGTAAGATGAAGCTTTAGTTCTGTAGTTTTGCAATCTGTATTATTAGTCCACAAGCTATTCATGTCCCCGTCCGTTCTGATATACTCTCGTGCAACCTCGGCCAGTTCCCAATCTCGAAGACGGCTATCTCTTCACATACCAGCCGTAACATGTATAGTGATAAGATTTACAAACTCGCTTGAGCCTTCAAGTTAAGGATGGGCCCTATAGCCTTAAACAGCCCAGCCAGAACCCAGCCGGGCCTAGTCCGTAACAAACATGCACGAAAGATGTATAGCAGTGATGAGGGAAAATGGAGGGTACACAAAGTATTGGGATGGAGCAGACTAATACAAAACATGTAGAACGCTTTTATTTTAGTTGCGAGCCATACTGACGGCTTCGATGCATACTTTTGTGATACAGAGCAATTATTTTTGAAATAGACGTGTATTTTAAGATATTATCAATTTATTTTTTCAAATTTTTATTATACATTAGGACCATTGTACTTTTCCCATAGAGTTGAAAAACATTCCCAAAACATTGACTTTCACAGAAGATCATTGGATGGTACCCTTGCTTGTATAACTAGTAGACGAACTAGACATGGGCCTGCCTGAAGACCAAACCAATCTAATTAATATGCACAGGGATCTCACCCCGGTCTTTTTGAAAAATTAACATTTTCTATCCAAAATAGACTGAGATGCATGTGCGGGTTTGAAAGACTCAACTAGAACTCGATATAATGGGGATAATGAAATCAGACAGAGACTGATGGACTGAGGGAGAGCAAGATGGTCATTTCTCGTACGAGGGAAATGATATCACACAGGAATATCCTAGCACTAGGCTGTGAACAACACAGTAAGTCTGGAGCAAGATATAAGGAGGTGTCAACCTCTGTTCATTCCATATAACCAAGTTTCCTTTATACAAGAATATAGAGTCAAGTCTTACACGTCACGGGAACATACGCCATAGCGCTTAACGAGACCTACTGTGAATATAACTTCCCCGAGAGTATCCATTGTCCTGATACTTTATAGCCTAGTTACTACAACACCATTGAATGCGCTCTAAAAACTTATGACCAAGAGATCAAGTTCCCTTAATATGAAGGTAAATTTCCCCATAAAGACTTCTTAGCACTAGGGTAAATGAAATGAACAAGCAGCCAGGAATCGACCACGCGTCATTGAACCTACATCTCTATTGGATAAAAAGTATTAGAGTGGAGGTGAATAAACCATCCTATCGGCAATTGCTGGCACAGGATATGAAGAGGGCGTAGAGAATAGGAGGCGAAGGATGATAGATCCTGGATGGGGCGCGACTCCGTATCAGCAATTATATCTCATCTGATACCCCTAGCACTTTGGAATGGGAGTTGATGTAAAGCGTAAGAAATCTTCTATGTTTAATTTGATTGTGGCACGGCCAAGACTTCCTTAAGGATCGGGAGGACGGAGAGGCACCAATAAGATGACGCAGCTCCACCCATCTGAGTCTGGGAGATGATGAGGAAAATTAGCTCTGAAGCTCAGCGAACAGATAGTTGAAGTAGATAATCTAGTCACATATATACATCGACCTTCCCTCAGGCTTTGGGAGGATCTGATTTTTATCAACCGACAGATTTTAGTTGCGACAGTTCCGCTCACAATGCGCTTTTCCAGCATAGCCATCATTTTTCAAAGCGCAAGCATCTTCGTCACGACTCTGGCTGGGACTAGCGTGGATCACATAGATGAGAAAATAAAATCTTTTGTTTGTAACGGACACATTGTTGGACATAATCAATTTACACAGAATCGAAGGTTAGCACAGAATCCTGAGTACATGTTTAAGAGAGGGAGTTTGTACCATCAGCATGCTAAAAAATTAAATGAGGCACGCCGGGACGTGAATTTACAAGATATACCTTTGGTGTATTCATATAGTGAAACCGCACAGTTATCTTTTCACCAACTCGAGGATATGACAGAGAGTAAGTGTTACAGGCTGCGCCTATCTCCTAGTGACTGTCGCACGGACACTTATCATTATTACGTCATTAGCCTTGCTATCTAGAGAGATGTCCAACTTGGCCATACAAATACAGGGTTGCAACAAATATGGAAACAAGATATTGTTGCAGCAAGTCTCATATGGAATCATGGGCCGATACGACCCAGATTCGCTATGACGAGCCCACTCGGAATATCAAGGATATGATGTAGTAGAATAGATAGTGAGGTTAGCGCATTGGGAGTTGGGACACCTTAAGTAGCATCCCCTCGGTGGACAGTTCCGAGATGTATGTAGAAAATAGACAGTAATCGGCCACCATTCCTTTACTATATTGTTTTGTTGATCGCCCATCACATATTTTCTACATCATCCTAACATTGTAGTTTATCCCATTAAACAACAAAATTTCCGGTCAACCAAAGACTAGAAGAGAAGATCAAATCTTCTATGAGCTACCGAATCCCAAGTATAGATATCGATACCGATTCGACTGACAACGCTTCCTTTCATTCCAGGGCAAGTGAAACTATGTCGGAACAAGCTAACGTCAGCGGTGCCCATTACGGCCAACCGCAAAATACGGTTCATGAGCAACTAGGCGAACCCTCAGAGTTCGAAGAGCAACAGAGCCGATCTCCTCACCAAGCTGGGGACATTCCATCATTTAATCCGTCGTCACCTCAATATCAGGCGCTATATAATCAAATTATAGCAGATATCTCTCGCCGTCAACCCCTATTGAATGCGCAAAATTTTCCACACGCAACATCAACTCAGCCACAGTACAAAAAGCCCAGCAAGTGGCCTTCGTGGGACGGCTCAATCACTACTCTATCATCTCATATTTATCAGCTAATTGTTAAAGTCGAAGAAGATAAACGTCAGCTAGGGTCGGATCGCGCTATATGTCTAGGGATCCTGAATTCCATACCAGTAGATAAACAATCCAGAGTGAGTCACTGGTTTGAGACAGGAGGCCCTTCAGGAATGCACAACTGGAAAGATTTTGTCGAACATATCAAGCTTGAATTCGAGGATAAACAAGCCCGACAGACTGCAGGAGATCTACTTTATCGGATGCGTATGGGTTCCAATCAATACTTCTGCGACTTCTTTCAAGATTTTCAGGTTAAGCTTGCACAATGCGGGGGAACTAATTGGCCTGACAGCAGCAAGATCATGAAACTTAATTCAAGTATTAACGAATCGCTGAGTGACCATCTGGTATCCAAAGATCTACCTGATGATGATTTCGAAACATGGGTTTCTATGGTCAAAAGAGTAGCGGGACGACTCGAAAATCGACCATCTTATCGACCAACAGGCTGCACTGGCAAGAAAACTTGGTATTTGTCTCATAAGCAATCCAAGTACCATTCCAGCACAACTGACCGATATCTTCACGCACCAGACCTTGACGATGAAGGAGATACCAAGATGGGGGGAGTTAATGCTATTGAGGCTCTCAAACTAGCGCTAAACTCCCTAAATAGTCGAAACATTACCAACAAGCCCAGGGCTAAATGGCGTTCCCCGGAGGAATTTAAAAGTTTGTGTAGCGAGGGAAGATGCGTCCGATGTCGAGAAAAAGGTCATTTATCTCGCGCATGCACTAAATTCGGTCCAGCTCAAAATCTTGCTTCAAGGATCGCCCATGTAAAAGGCCCCACGAAGATAAGGAAACAGAGCCACGCAGAAGAAAAGGTCAACTATGAAGAGTTGGAGACCAGTGAGGTTTCGGGGGAAGAGTAAGCTCTGAGCAACGTCGCGCTCAGAGTAAGGGAGAATCATTTGCCATTGATTTAGTTAAAAAATCAGATAAATTGAACAGTACTCCATTTTTAATAGATTGTCTGTTAAATTCAAGTTTCTTTGTGCAATCTTTGATTGACACAGGCTGTCTCTGTTATGCTGCATTTTCTAATGAGATCGTGAAGAAATGGGAACTTCCGCGCATAAAAATACCAAAAAGATCCTTGCAACTAGCAGAAAATGATGGGAAGCAAAGAACAATAAACGAATTGACTTTTGCAGACTTCGATATTGACGGTAGACGAGAAAAGGTCTATGGATATATTATCCAAGACCTTTCCTACGATATTATCCTGGGAAAACCATGGATGGAACAAAATGATGTCGTCTATCTTGCAAAGAAGCGAGTGATTCGATTTGGTTCTCAGAAGTATGGACAGGTTGTCAGAGAAAAGGGTTGGTATGATAACATTGCCTCATTGAAGTTAAAAAAAGAAATACACCATGTTGCTACAGCTAAAAAAGTATTGGGTGGCAAATTTATTTCACTAATGAAGCTTGCTAAGGTGGAAACAGGATCAAAGATTTTCGCCATTACAATGCAAGATCTTAACAAGGCTCTGGAGATAAAAAGCGAAGAAACATCAGAGGAAATAAGAAGGACACTTCCTCCTTCCATAAAACATTGGTCCAATCTCTTTGTCGAAGACAGACAAAGTAAATTACCCCCACATCGACATTCCGATATGAAAATCGATTTAGAAAGAGACGAACAAGGTAGAGAAAAATCTATACCTTGGGGCCCACTTTATGGAATGTCAAGAGATGAACTCCTAGTTTTAAGGAAAACGCTAAATGATCATCTCGATAAAGGATGGATCAGAGCCAGCAGCTCGCCAGGAGGAGCACCAGTGCTCTTTGTTAAAAAGCCAAATGGGGGTTTGAGATTCTGTGTAGACTACAGAGCCTTGAACGCAATCACAGGAAAAGATCGGTACCCACTACCACTGATAAGAGAAACTCTGAGATCAATATCAAAATCGACATGGATGACCAAAGTTGATGTTCGCGCTGCATTCCACAAACTTCGAGTTAGGAAGGGAGACGAAAAAAAAACTGCTTTTCGGACAAGGTTTGGCTCCTTTGAATGGCTAGTCACTCCCTTTGGGCTACAAGGAGCTCCAGCTGCATTTCAGCGGTACGTAAATGAATCCTTGGGAGATTATCTTGACCAGTTTTGCACTGCGTATCTTGATGATATTCTTATCTACACTTCCGGAGATCTCCAAGATCATTGGGTTAAGGTTGAATCTGTGTTCAAACGTCTAGACATAGCCGGCTTAAAACTGGACCCAAATAAATGCGATTTTGCAGTGAAGAAAACAAAGTATTTGGGATTTGTTATAAGCGCTGGTGAAGGAATTAAAGTCGATCCTGAAAAAGTTAAAGCCATAAAATCATGGGAAATTCCGACAACCGGAAAAGGAGTTCGTAGCTTTTTAGGTTTCGCAAATTTTTACCGTGAATTTATCCCCAACTTCAGCGAAATTGCACAGCCTCTTATCAACTTAACGAAAAAAGATCACGCTTTCCTGTGGCTTAAAGAGCACCAAACATCGTTCGATGTTCTGAAAAAGCTATTCATTACGGCCCCAGTACTAGCTCTCTACGATCCGGATAGAAAGACAATTGTAGAAGCGGACTGCTCGGGATATGTTATGGGGGCGTGCTTGTCGCAATACGACGATGCAAAAGTTCTACGCCCAGTAGCATACCTTTCAAAAAAATTAAGTCCCGCAGAATGCAACTACGAGATTTATGACAAAGAATTGCTTGCGGTTGTCTTGGCTTTAAAAGAATGGAGAGGCGAGTTGATGGGCCTCAAGCATGCATTCGTAATTTTTTCAGACCACAAAAATTTGGAGTATTTTATGACCACAAGAAAATTGTCCGAGCGTCAAGTTCGATGGAGCCATACTCTCTCCCAGTTTAATTTTAAGCTAAAATTTAGAACAGGAAAAAATTCGCTGAGACCAGACGCACTTTCACGCAGGGAACAAGATATGCCGAGCTGTGCAAGCGACGAGCGGCTGAGGAGTCGCCAAGTACAATTAATCAAAGATGCATGGATGAAAACAGATACCGACTCTAACAAGTTGGTAACCTCTCAAATCACCTCAGCTTCAGTCTACCTAAATATCCCTTCAGAATCTGGCACTGAGATACAGTTGCCCGATGGCAATTGTATCTTTCAAAAAGAAGAACTTCAGATACTTTGGAATAGAGGTTGCGAAGAGGACAAAGGCATAAGAACCATGTACAAAGCTCTGCGAGATGGTGAGCGGGCCTTCCCGACAGAACTTAAGCTGAAAGTATCAATCTCAGAATGCGATTTTGATGAGAGAGGCGTCCTTAGATTTCGTCGTCGTATATGGGTACCAGACTGGGAACCCCTACAGACAGCTCTGATACAAAATACGCACGACTCGTATATAACGGGACACCCAGGTCGTGATAGTACATATGCTATCTTATCAAGGAGTTTTTTTTGGCCAGGGGCATCGACGATGGTAAGAACTTTCTGTAAAAATTGCGATGTTTGTGGACGATCTCACGTATGGCGAGAAAAGAAAAAAGGATTGCTCCTACCGCTACCGATACCTAGTCGTTTCCATTCAGAATTGTCAATCGACTTTATGACGGATCTGCCAGCAAAATCTAGACAAGATTCTCGATATCTCATGGTGATTACAGACCGACTATTGAAAAGTTGCACCCTTGAAGCTATGAGCTCAATGTCAGCAGAATGCTGTGCTGAGCGGTTTTTACACTGTCACTATCGTTTTCATGGATTTCCATTATTTTTAACTTCTGATCGTGGTTCAAATTGGGTTGGAAATTTCTGGACCCATCTATGTAAGTTAGTAGGTATAGAGCAGCGTCTTTCCACGGCGTTTCATCCTGAAACGGATGGAAGTACAGAGAGGATGAATCAGGAAGTGTTGGCATACCTTAGATCTTTTATATCCTACGCTCAGTACGAATGGCCTGATATGCTTCCGTCAGCTATGCTAGCTCTTAATAATAGAGACACAGTCATCGGTCTTAGTCCTTTTTTCCTCACACACGGTTATCACGCAGAACCTATCGAACAAATCCCGCCCCCTTCCAAAAATTCCGATGCACCTGAAAAGAAAGCCAGGGAATTTGTACAGCGAATAACAGATGGACAGGAATATGCACAAGCTTCCATGGCATTTGTCCAACAACGAATGGAATCAGCATCTAATCAAAAGAGGCTTCCGCAAGAGAGGTTTGAAGAGGGAGACCTTGTTTGGTTAAAACTAAAAAATATTGAGACGCCACAACTTAGTAAAAAGCTCTCATGGGTTAACGCAAAATATCGCGTCCTCAAAGTTATATCCCCTCATGTAGTCGAACTTGATGTCCCATCGGGTATACATCCGAGATTTCACGTCGATTTGTTAAAACGAGATCCACAAAACCCCCTTCCGTCTCAAATTATGTTAGACGAGCAACCACCGCCGCTTGTGAATCCTGATGGTGACAATGAGCAATTCGTTGAAAAGATTCTCAGAGCCGAAAAGAGAAAGAAAGGTCGGGGCTTCCGAAGGGAGGTGTTGGTAAAGTGGAGAGGTTTTCAAGAGCCAAACTGGGAATTGCGCCAAGGTCTCGAAGACACGGAGGCTCTTGATATCTTTGAAGAAAGGTACGGTATTGGTGATGAGGTGGGAGAAGATGTCGGGGCAAGAATAGGTGTTACTGGCAAAAGGCAAAAAATTTTTACATCTGAAAAAAAGAAACGAGTAAAAAAAAAAAAAAGTACTGTGAGGAGGGGATAATGTTACAGGCTGCGCCTATCTCCTAGTGACTGTCGCACGGACACTTATCATTATTACGTCATTAGCCTTGCTATCTAGAGAGATGTCCAACTTGGCCATACAAATACAGGGTTGCAACAAATATGGAAACAAGATATTGTTGCAGCAAGTCTCATATGGAATCATGGGCCGATACGACCCAGATTCGCTATGACGAGCCCACTCGGAATATCAAGGATATGATGTAGTAGAATAGATAGTGAGGTTAGCGCATTGGGAGTTGGGACACCTTAAGTAGCATCCCCTCGGTGGACAGTTCCGAGATGTATGTAGAAAATAGACAGTAATCGGCCACCATTCCTTTACTATATTGTTTTGTTGATCGCCCATCACAGTAAGTATCAATACCCTTTTGCGTCGGAGTAGCACAGCTGATACTCAGTGCAGCCAGAGATTTAGGCAAATATGTCTTCAAATCTGAATACTTTGTCATGGTGGACAAACACGCTCGCAGTTGCTCCATACTTATTCAAGAATTAAAGCAATATCCACAGGGGCGATATACATGGCCGGATGATATAAGCTACAAGTTATGCAGAGTTGGACATGTTGTAATTGAGGCAGCAACATGATTACAGCAGTCAAATAGTGTATATTATTCTAATATGCACTGGCGCCATGAGATATGATTAACCCAAATCACCACTTACTGGCATGAATTGTAATTAGCCAATAGATGCCTGACGGCATACATTGGCCTTCAGGATCTCCAACTACCTTCCCATTTAAGTTAGATTAGGAAGTATGTTGGAGTTCACACTAGTGTGCGGAAAACCCCGCTTTCATGTATAAAGAGGGACTTCTCGCCACACATACAGAATTATAGCATATGGCATCAAGTATGGTGGTGGAGTGCTTGATGCGGAAATACTATGGGCGAGGAAGGCCCTGGATGCTGCGCTGGAATTGTCGGAGAGGGAGAACGGGGGAAGGAACGGCAGGTAGCAGATCAACGTACTGACAGGTAGTCAGTCTGCAGTGAAGGCACTGCTGACGGGAATTGCCCCACAAGCCTCGACGACGTACGCCAATTTAGGACGCTATCAAAAAAGGCTCTTGTATCGGTGAAGTGGATACCGGCCCATTCCGGGATACAGGGAAACGAAGTTGAAGATAGAGCTGCACGCTCCAGCCTCCGAAAACTGCCAAGCAAAGACAGCCAGCCTGGCTCCGTCACAATGGTGTACGTTCGTCGGCTCATGAACCGGAAACGTCAAGCGCTTCTCGACGACTGGTGGGAAGAAGCATGTCCACCTTGGTATCGAAATCGGGGTCTTCTCATGCAACGACGCAAGCCACGCGAGCAGACACTTTCCCGGCGGCTACTCCGTGAACTTATCTCAGCCCGTACGGGCCACGGAAACTTCGCGGCATGACATCGCCGCTTCAACAAATTCGCCGCTTCAATGGAGTGTGCGTGTGGGGAGGTAACATCACCTCTCCACTTCATTCACTGTCGACGTCACGTACGCCAGACGCGTCGACTACGAGGGATAATGTCACATCACGACTTTGCACACAAACTTCTCGGGCCTAAGTGCCTCGAATACTTTAAAAAATTTGCGCAGGAAACCGGCTGCTTCGGGGGCCCACCTGCGACTCCGTGTCCAGCTCTCGGCGTAGGCGGCAGCAACTATATCATACCACAGGGCATGACAGGTAGGAAAATGAGACGAGAAGTGTCATTTTCCAACCGCAAACAGGAGTCTAGGATTTGTAATTTTGGTTATGGGAGTTTGTGTGGGTATTTATTTTCTTTATCATAACTAGCTACTTATTGTGTAGTGAGTCACGCGGTGAGAGCGAGTCGGGCATGTGGTAAGCATAATCTTGGCCGTGTGCACCGGTCCTTGACTCCTAGGAGATATTGAGTATAGCTTAGGACTTCAAATATATCAAAAAAAATATAGAATTATAGCAATTTCTTAACAATTAACTATCCATTAAACATCAGTAGACTTCGTCGTACATTAAACAAATTCATCATAACTCTAACTCATCCTCATACTTGGTATGTCATTCTTACAATCTCCGGAACCATTCTAATTGGACAGAAATATTTGTTGAGCGGATTGGTTTGCAAAAGCTTGTGGCTGTTAGGCACAGATTATATCACTTGGTGAAGCGAGTGGGAAAGTAAAGGAGTCTGTAAATCTATCGTGGAGAGTTGTTAATTACTCCCACTAGGACACAGAGTGCTCTATAAACTATATTTTGTAATAATAAAGTCTAGTGGTTGGTATTTATGTCAAAGCGCATTGATTGTAACCTCACAATTAATGGGAGATTAGTAACGTGTATTCTACACATCCCTGTCTTTACCATAATTGGAAGTACCAATTCTCAACAATATTGACCAGGACAATTTGGCGACCAGAGATTTGATTGCTTTCGTTAGTTACCTGTTACTAAGGTTTGACTGTAGTATGAGCTTGGGTAGATACCTAAGCGTAATACTTTGAATGTTTATGCAGTGCCTGAATGGGGAGGGAAAGATTCAGCTGGACGAAGTGATTGTAATAGTCACGAGGGTGAATTGCTGTATCAACTGAGTGACACCCGACGATTAGCAGCTATTTTGTATGATTTATGGAGGAAAGCCATGAGTTAGTAGACTCATGAGGCAGATCAATTGTTACAAGTAGCTGTTAGTTGCAGCAAGACTTCTCTTTACTCTTCATATAGTTAATAAATCGACACAATCATCACCGACTCGCTTTCCATCACATTTTAAACTGTATCAACCAGTCTTGCCTGTTACCAATTTAATCACAATCTTCGTTGACAGCGATTTAGGACACCTCAAAACCAAAGGAATATATCGGTAAGCATCTTAAACAAGTGAAGGCTGCTCGAAAAGTGGATGCCATCATTTGCTCCACCATCGGCATTAACGAGCTGGATTTATGGCCGCTGGTGTGTCAAGCCAGGAAGCGCTACCTTATGACTAATCGCAATTAGAAATAAAGAGTTTGGTCAGTGAAATGAAATCGGAGAAGAAGAGCACAGAAGAGATCTAGGGATGATACAATCCCAAATGGACTACTTAATTTTCAGGGAATACATGTTACAGCGTGCTGTAGGGTAGATCGAGATCGCCGTTCGCCGAGTGTATGGAAAGGTCAAGTGGTGAATACTGTAGAGGTGGAAAGTCGATGAAGTACTATGGCTAGAAGGAAGCGGGTTTGCAAGAAGATACTGTAATAATATTATAAAATTGTGAAGCTGGAGAACTACTTTGTTGTAGCTCCAGCTTCCTTAAGTACAAATAACTATCTAACATAATTCAACTAAGACTATTGTAATTTCCCATCATGACTCAAACTGTGACCTCAACCATATCAATTCCAGTTGGCGCATTATCTAGTCTCACCATATAAGTGCAAGTGTTGAGGGTGAGCCGAAAAACCTGTTCGGTGAACTTTATCCTCAGGCATTCTGCTTAGACTCTGGTTCCAGAATGTCTCGCCATGACAATACATCTAGATCAATATCATCCTCTGCCTAATACTAATTTTTTGGTATGGTATATGTGTTGGTTGGTCAAGTAATGTATCGAGTTCAGGGTTTGTCCCATGTAACATTGAGTTGTTGTATGAGATGGGAGGATGCTCCAGTTCTGTTTTACCTAGAGTTTAACTAGTCGCTTTACTGCTGATGAGATTGAGTATACGACGTTCTTATATCTTAATTATCTGTAGGAGACTATGTAATTATTCAAACTACCTTCTTAACTCTCACCCGGTGATATTATCTGATATTAGAATTTCAGACGTCAGTTAGACCGTGCTAAGGTTTTAGCCAGCATCAGACATGTACCCTGACAACCTGAATCAGATGTCGGATAGTATATACTCTACGCCCGCTATTAATATAGTAGCTAGCATTACAACGTAAATTTCGATACACAAAAGTAATCGAGATCTGTGGAAGCGCAGGAACTTGTCATCCAACTTAGTGTCAAGTGGGGAACTCAATTAGAATGAGATGTACCTGCTTAGTCATATCAAAGTAAGGGAACCTGGTAATACACACTGGGGCGCACCAATTTGTTTTAACAATAATAACATATAATTTTGCCACTTCTCATTTGATCTATAAACTTCAGTCCCAATCTCTCTGAATTGATATTTCGCAAGAATTGTTGGGATTACAGGATGATATCACGTCTCTACTGCAGTAGGTAAAGCTGTGACACGTGTAAATCTTGATTGATCCTCTATCTCTCTAAACTCGTGTACTATAATACAAGTAGGGGTCAACCCTTGCAAGCTAAAGTGTCATGTGATCTATATGACATGACATAACAACTCAACATGTAGACACTGGCAACCTTTTTTTTTGATATTAAAATTAAAAATTAATTTCTTTTTACCCATCCCTCTATTCTTACTTCGATCTCGTTTTTATCTATCAAACTCTCCAATGCCTTATTTGGATCGGACTTTGTCATTGCATCTGCAGGGTTGTCAGGTCCGTTAATCCAGCGTATCTCATATGATTCGCGCCGTTCATATGACTGTTGTAGCGCCATTATGTCAATCATAAGCCGTTTCTCTTTAGTTGTGCGAAGCTTCACTAAGCATTCATATAGTGAGTTTGAATCAGTGCATACTATTGTGCGAATTTCTGGAAGATTGAGATTATTGGTTATTATTTTAAGGGTAGTACTTAGGACGTGTGCCATGTCAACTCCTCCTACCATTTCGTATATTTCAGAAGCTAGTACACTTCGAGTTACCCTTTTGCTTTTGGTGGAGCTATAATGAACAATATTTCCTTTCAAATTGAATTTGAAATTATTTTCTGACATCTCATTTGCCAGGACAATAACAAATCCCATTCGGGAACTTAAATCTCGATTATTAGCGAATGATTCATCAACAAAGACGTAGAGATTAGCTGTATTGAGATCTAAAGGGATGTACTTTAATCCACAATCCAGGTTGTGACAGAAACCGAGTTGGTTGCAAATAAATTGATTTATTAAACTATATGAGGAGAAAAGAGAACTCTAGCTATGTGTTGCGATGGGCATGTTTTATAGCTAGGATACTTGCATGTACATAACTTGATTAGATGTTTATGCTGTTTGTGTAGTTCCTGTGACGTTTGGGATATCTGCAGGAGGAAGCTCATGTAGTCAGGAGCCGACTAGCGGCCGCACATGAGTATAAGTAGCGAGTGCTCGGCACACAATTAGTATAGTACAATTAAAATACAGTGAACCTCAGATACACCTTCAACCACAACCTGAACTCATAAATCTACATCCTCGTACAAGGTCAGCATGCATAGTGACACTAACCTAAGCTCATAACCACAATACTATGACTAACAGGTATTTATAAGAATTGGTCCCCTACGTCAATCTCCAGAATGATGACTTATCCTTAGGCACAATACTTGCTACCCAGCCACGCATTGCCAGGTATTACTTAGTTGTAGTAACGCTTCGACCTCCTGACTAGTAGTGTTGCCATGTTCAGCTTCATCTATCCCCCCCATGCAGCCTTGTTGTAAATATTCCCAACAATCTGCTTAGGTATTCACCTAAGCTCAAACAACAGTCAAACCGTAACACAGGTTAATCTTCTGCCATTTCAAGCGCTTGTTTAATATTTTAGCATCTTCATTAGTTGGTAATTGAATTTGTGCTGCAATAGAAAGGTCAAAACAGGCTTCTGGTTGACAAATCGAGGCTATATATGCCCCACAAACTCTTTGTTGAATATATGATTTCTTAACATTGGACTCTTTGTGAGCACCAAAGTCAACTAATTCAATCTTTTTCGCTTGACCTTTCTGGCACAATTCAATTTTCCAATCATAACTTAGTTTAAAAATACACCCATTGAATAAAAGAGGGTTGCTTAAGGTTAAGCGTTCCTTAGGCTTTGCAGTAAATTTGAGTTTATCCTCTTCTCTCTCTGAGAACGTTTCTTCGCCAAGGATTAGTGTATCACCTGTCTGAAACCCCACTAATCCGAATATGCCAGAATTTGTGATTAGCAGACAGGGATCATACGTTGAAGGTTGCATCTGAAGCTCATTCAGATGATGTTCCATATAGGTAACCCACCAATGAGTCCCAGATTCTGGAATGCCATATAAAGGCTTTAAAATAACCATAATTGTTTGTTCCGGATAATCTTCTCTGAATTCCTTAGGTATTTTTGCACAGATTAATCGGTTCAACAAACTTGTTGATTGAGTATAGGCCTGGCTTATATTGGGCAACCAAATTCCAAAATTTCTATTTTTGAGCATAAAAAGGGAGGGTGCAATTGCTGTCACTAGACGTTGGCTAGCTCTTTTAATGTAGGTGGCTGGGTGAGTATTTCGGTCTTGTCTTTATCTCCCCACGCCACAATTACCATTCTCGTTTTTTCATATGGGGAATTCGTGCCTTTCCCTTTTATCCCATGGACGAATCGAGAGTTAAATGATCTGGTGTCACCGTGTTTAGCTCTACTGTATTTTTCTAGTTTAAGAACACCATTTTTAATGAGACTATCAAATTATGCCCGGTCAGCTGCTTCGAACGGTTTTCTAAGAGCAGTTATGACTCCTTCTTTACGTAGTTTACGGGAGAGCTCGAGATCTGCTTCCTCCTCAGCGGAAAGAAAATATTTATTTTCAAGACTAAAAGAAGTTATGCAATCTCTCTCGGTTAATTTATCAGATAATGTTTCCGAAACTTTCTTTGGTCAATTCTTTGAGCCTTTTGGCCGTCCCCTATTTCTCCTTTTTGGATGATCTTGATCATTTTGGAAATTATAATCCTTGTCAATTGCATTTGATACATCTGAATCTGAATTGGAACCTGAACAGACCTCTTTATTTTGGGTCAAATCATTGAGAGCTTCTTCTTTATCCCTAAAGAATGGTCTTACGGCAGTAGCTCTGAACTTAGTAAGCCCATAAGGCATTTCAATGACGCATTCTTGATGGTTGATATCTATTGCCACAACCTTATAGGGTCCCTTCCACCCTTTATTCTCCCTCCATACAATTACTTCGGATTGCAGGGGTAGATTCAAGACCGCTAATGTACTTGGACCATTTCGAGTTGCCAATGCGTTATTTATGCTTCGTTTTGCGCGAATCTTTTCAATCTCTCGCATAGCCATTTTTACTGCCTTAGCCCTTGCCTCGGCAGACGATGATGGTCCAGAGTCTATTGTCATCCGCGGGTAGGCTCCGTTAACTAGTAGAGTTGGAACAAGTCCATGAAGACCCATTGAATCATTTAGGGCCTTAAATGCCATTTGAAGTATTACTTCTGCAGGCACTCCCTGATCTTTAAGTTCCATAAATATGATAATATGATCTCCGAAGCGGGGCATGATATCTTTCAACCTTTCCAGTACTATGATGAGCATCTACAGGTGCTTTGTGAACTTGAATTCCCATAGATTTGGAATTTTTGCGGAATTCTTTCAAGGCCAGATTAGTACCAGCGTCGTGAGCAACAAAGTCAGGTGGGCCTAAGTATACGTCGATCCAACAAGCTCTAAAAGCATTCCAAACACTTTTCGCACTCATATCAGGGAGAAATCTTCCTACTTGATAGGCAGTAGCTTCATCAATTGCATGAGGGGTAATTCTTCCGTCCAAATTCAGAATATCTACAATCACTGTATGATTAAAGTCATACTTTTTGGGTAATTTGAATTTAAATTGCCCAGGAGCTTTTCCATGAAGTTGTGACGGAAACCGAGTTGGTAATGAATAAATCGATTTATTAAACTATATGAAGAGGAAAGAAATCTCTAGCTACTACTAACAGGTACTTATAATGTTTGGTCCGCTTCGTGAATCTGCTGACTGATAACTTCCCCCTAGGCCTAATACTTGCTACTGAGCCAAGTATTATCAGGAGCCATTACGCTATGATGTTGCTTCGACCTCCTGGCTAGTAGTGCTATTTCATCTCTATTTGCCCATCCTTCCTCTTTCAGTCTTATTGTAATTATTCCTAATTAAACGCTTAGGTTTCCTCCTAAGCTAAAACAACGATCAAACCGTAACAGAAGTTGACATTGCCGACAATATTGGGTCAGTTTTTCAACCACCTTATGTTCAACATCGTGAACCGCCTGGCATAGAACTTCAGCCAATCTTTTGACAGACGGGTGCCCAAATCTTCTGTGTAACTGACGCAATTCAGGCTCCGTTAAGTGGCAATATGCTATACTCTGTTCCAGATGGAGAAGCATCTACCAATGTCCAAACTTCATTACAACCGGGATAACATTGTGTCCTTGAATTAATAGGTTCCGTAAATTATCAAGTTTAACACCTAGACGCTTCATATCCTAAATGCATAGAAGAAATGGGGTGTTTAAAGGTATCACATGAAAGATTATGTTGCCTAGAGGTGTTTCTACTCCGATTGTACCCATTGATTTTGCATCACCTTTTCCAAATTGAATCATGTGCTCTCAAGATCGGGATTTATCAATTTTTATAGATGGGGTTATTCTTTGAAGAGCTATTACTTGTGGATAAACTGCCGTTGAAACGCCTGCAGCTCCAGTATCAGGCATTATACCATGAAATTCAGCATCAGAATACCTTGAAATGATTGAATTTTCCATTTCCCAAGTTGAACTTACTTGAGTTGAATATCTCTGCATTGAACAGTCTTGTTGATTAGATTTGAAGATATCCTTTTTAGACACTGCATACATTGTTGATTGATTATTGAGGAAATCTATTGTTTCGAACAGATCAACAGGGCCAAAATCAGTAAGATAACTATTGTGCAGTTCATGATCTGCAAGATTGTCCAGATCTTCTTCTGGCTCCCATTCTTCCAGAAACTGGCTGATTTCTTCATCTTCATTACTTGAGAAGCCTTCGACTCCTTCCCATTCAGCTAGAAAAGCGTAAAAGTATGTTGCAGTGCCTGGTTTTCTGTGAATATTTGTTTGGTTTTGAAACCTCGAAAATCTATGCTTTCTTTCACCAACCAAGTGTCTCGTTGACCCACAACCAGGCTTTCCACAAATATAACACTTCTTTTGATGTACATTAGTGCTTGCCTCATTGTGAAATGAGCAACAGTTTTGGCAACTTTCCGATAAATTACCTCTGGTTCCACCTTTTAAGTTATACATTGTCCTTCTGCTATTGTTTTTGAGTCTATTTCTACCAATCTATTTTCTTTTGGTATAATTCTGATCCAAATCACAAAATTCTCGATAATCAGAGTTGGCAGAAAATTGCCTATAATATTGAGACTGCTGCTCTCGAGTATGAATTGCGTTTCTGATCTGTGAGATAACACCTTCAAAAGTTTTATCGTGGTTGTATAAAGCCATCTCACACTCTTTTATACCCTGACATCTATTGAGGACTTGGTCTCTAATATTTTGGTCAATTCGATAAGACCCCTACAGGCCTCGTTGAATTCTTTGCAGAATATCAACCATGATCTGGAAACATTCTGAAGTCTTTTTGTCGGGGTTTTCTGATTTAATCTTTCGAAGGGTTGTAGTTCTCCAAAGCATTATATATTCTTGTTTGCTCGAATCTGTTTCAAAGTGGGACCTAGTAAGCTCAACCATCTTTTTGAAATTGTAGCCTTTTTTTGCAATATGATTGTAGTAAAATTGGTTAGCACAATCTTTTAACATTGAAGAAAAAGCATTGTGATATTGCTCTTCTTTTAGTCCAACCTTGCCACAGAAATAATAAAATATGAGTAACTTTGTAGATAGTGTATCATAAAGTTTTCCACCAAACTTGTTATCTTTATCCATGTAGAGTTTTCCCAGGTCTGTTAACTGCCTCGAAAATCCATCTGGAGGGGATCGAAGAACAAGATTTAGTGAAAGCGCTTGAGTTATATCCTGCTCCACCCCTAAATCGCGAGATTTTTTTATTTGTGATGGAATTGCATCTAGATCACTCTTGATGTTCTGGTTAGGTTGGGGTTTGACATACTTAGCTTGTATGGTTGAGGTTTTTTGATTTACATGTTGGGGTTGCTGTTGTTGAATTTCATGACTGTTAAACTATGTCTTAATTTCTCGCATTTGAACAGCTCCTGAAATTGGTAGAGAACTCGGGAGGGGTGGATCGTATTTCGAAGAGAAACCCCTCCTCTATTTTTCTGGATTTCTATCTCTTGTTGGGTCCACTCATGTTCCTGTTCTTCATTGATAACCTCAAGCAATCTAACAGCGAGCTTTCGGCTATCTCTTGGGACAAATACCCCATTCTTGGTTAAGGAGTCCCTTAGGAGATACAGTATATCAACTTTACATTTTTTCATCATCTCCAATGTCCAATTACTGAAATCATCCCTATATAACTCCCATAACTGCCCAGATGTGTACTCAATTTCGGCATACCAAGCTAATCTTTGGGCTATGTATGTCTGTAAAATCTTTGAATTTACCTCTGCAACGGTTGGATCTGTTGAGCAGATTGGTTTGCAAAAGCTTGCGGCTGTTAGGCACAGATTATATCACTTGGTGAAGTGAGTGGGAAACTAAAGGAGTCTGTAAATCTGTTGTGGAGAGTTGTTAATTACTCCTACTAGGACACAGAGTGCTATATAAACTATATTTTGTAATAATAAAATCTAGTGGTTGGTATTTATGTCAAAGGGCATTAATTGTAACCTCACAATTAATGGGAGATTAGTGACGTGTTGCCTACACATCCCTGTCTTTACCATAATTGGAAGCACCAATTTCAACAGGTAGACTCCTGGGACCAAACCCCTTCAAACAGTGGCAGGCTACACGACCTACCCTAGACTTGTTCGTATTCTCAGACGGAGCTCTAATAGAAGACTGAGCAGGTGCGGGCTATATCATATACCAAGGTTTTACACAGGAGACTGGGCGAGGATCACTCCCGCTCGGAAACTCGGCAGAAGTGTATGATGCAGAAATTGCCGCGGCCACAGAAGATCTTGCCGCAGCCCTCCGCAGCCCACTGGCTTTCTAGGCCTCCCAACCCACAGTTTGATTTGATAACTGGAAGGTCGCCATCCGTATGTTCTTGGAGACACCCACGGCGTCCAGCTCCCACTGTAGAGTCTGCAGAGCCGAGATTGAGTAACAAAGTCCTCACTTCGAAGAGGATTCCCATTCGCTTTCGCGGTCTGTATCGTCTTCATCTCTCATCACACTCCCCTATCAGCATTATCATGAAGCTGACCACAATCAGATTAGATGGTGGGGTCAGAGCCCTACTCATCACCAAACCTTGATCACGGAGGAAAAGCCATCCGATGAGTTTCCGGAGCGTACCCAACACCCAATACGGAGATGGTGGATTGGATCAAGTCGGCCTCGAATGTTACAAAGAAGGGAGATATAGATGAATATGCGCACCTCATGTGGTTCCGGTGTCTAGGCCTCGCTTGGCTGGACTGCAGGTTTTTTGAGACTTTTTCCCGCACACGCAGTTTCTATTGCTACCATTTTAATTTTTTTGGGTAGAAGGTTCCGTGGAAAAGGTGGCCGAATTCCACGGTTAAATACTGAGCTGAATGGCTATTCATCAAGGGGAATATATCAATGATCTTTCAAGTGACAAAAGAGGATAAGAGCACTGTACAAGGTGTGGCCTGGGTCAGAGAGGAGCCCAATATGCTAGATACTCATAGACTCAAGTGGTACAGTAAAATCACACACATACACACCCACAATTTATTGAATTTCGAATTTTCGAATCTTCACCTTTTCCCTCTTCCCCGCCCTCCCAATATTGTGATATTGTTTGCGCTCAATTCAAAATTTGTGAGCAACTGGTAGGTTGTCAAAATGCCCCCAGTTTGCAGTAAACCATTGCAGGCGAAAAACATTGTAGAAAACCGCAATTATATCAATCACGCCGTTCGAAGAAAACTACATGACAAGCTGTGTACCCTGACTCCTAGTCAAGAAATGGAAATTGACCAGTTGGTTGACAACGGAGCTCTAGATGACACGATGTTAGATTTTAGCGATGTTGACATTGATAAGATCCTTAGAGATCTGAAAAGACTTCCCCATTCAATTCACTCCAAGCCAGAGGCGACCGGAGCTGAAAAGGCAACGATTTCTCAAAAAAAGCCAGCAACTGCAACTACACAGCAACAGACACTGCCTCTGATAAAAGTCGACGTGCCATTGACAATGGCAGAGAAAACTGGCGACACCTGCAAGAACAACCTGAGTGGCTCTTCGATTGCCTCAGGTCCTATGGCAGCCTCAACAATTAGTGAAGCCTCTGAACCCAAAAAGAAATCATCCAACGAAACTGACACTGCAGCTAGCAATGAATTCTGCCCCGGAGAGCTAAGTGTTATGAATGATGAGCACTGGAGATATTCTTGGGATAGACTTAGAGACAGTTGTGATATAATGCTAGAGAACTGAGTTGTAGACTTTAGAAGGGATTATTATTTGCTAAAGTATAATGGATAAAGTGTGTGATCTGTGTTGGACACTTTTGGGGGCAGTGCCTGACCACCTGTCTAAATATATGAGAAGCTGGTCCGTGCACTGCTATCACTTCTCAACATCCTGATCCTCAACAGATCTCTACAACCACTACGTAGCTTACCTCAATTGTGTAGGCACAGCGACTATATTAATCCATGACCTAGACCATGCACGTCTCTACGTTATGTTAGCACGGACTAGGATTACAACACTAAGAGCTGTAGTGGAAGCCGAAAAGCAAAGGGTCGCACAAAAGTCTGCTCAGATTCTGTTATGCACATCGTCCATAAGAGGCGTGGAGGCCGTACTCTCCCCGATGGCCACGGGCGACAATAAAATTTACGTCGACTCAATGAAGGCTTATTTACGAGCAGAAATTGGCCATTTTATCAACTCGGGCCCGGAGTCTACACCACCATTGCTCCCCCAAAGCCCCAACCATGTATCCCCAAGGGCCCCATCTCCAAAGCCTACATGTTATGATAGGTCTATGATTCGGGTGTACATACAATTTGTGGGAGCTCGCTGCTAGTGATCACAGATGTGCTGCTGGGCCGGACAGGTCAAGAAGAGGAGTGGAGAATGATCTCTGTAGAATGAGGAAAGACTGTATTGCTTACTCTATCTACTGTGGAGGAAAGCTCTCTACTTATAGTCCCTAGACTATTGCTTACTAATTATACTAACTCAACGAAGCAGGAGCAAACAGAGCAAATGCATGCAGTTGCGTGACCATCATAACTTGAGCTGTGCACTGTAGATATGTGGGTCTAGGCACAACACTACAGCAGAGAACAAACCCATGGTGCCCGCCCAGGGAAACACATGGGCAGGAATTACTAGATTAGGGCTGCAAAAAGATGCAAGGAGAATCAACAAAAAGACGGCAGCAGTCCCGCAGAACGTATAAAAAATAAGGCAGAAAGTAGAAGCAGACAATCGGCTTTTCATCCGCCTACAGGACACACACGAGTGGAGACGTCTCTCCCCATCTGGCATACGCGAAGCTATAGCAATGCAGACCAAATGCGCACCATCGGATGTAGAACACGTGCACCGTGTCCCCACAGGTTTTTCTATACGCGCCATAGACTCTGATGCAAAGAATTGCCTAATGGAAGCGTCAGATACACTGAATATACTGGGTGAAAAATTGGAGAAACCATCCGAAAAAGTTGCCCTCTGCATTGCCATAGTTCCAACAGCAGTTTACACGCTAGATGAAAAAATACAGTTCAGCCCGTAAATGGTGGCCACGGAAATAATAAGAGTGACAAAATGTACCCCAACAAAAGTTCGAGTCCATGGCAAAGGAAAGCTCGGGGCCCCATACCAAGAGTGGCTCGCTCACTTTCTAGATGGATCGTCGACAAAGCCCGGCTTTAGGCTTTTTGACGACTCGGGTGTAGCAACAGTACACCGGCCACAAGCCCCTGTGCTGCAATGCAAACGCTGCCTCGGATTCCACCACACTCAAGCTTGCTCTTGTGCGCCTGCCTGCTGGAATTGTGGATCCACGATGCACTATCACAGACCGGCTTTCTCACGAGGAAAACAGCCTGCTTGTTACTACCATTGTACCATGGCCTAATGCTGAGATGCTGCGTTAAGTCTGATCAACCAAGTCAGGAACTTCCCTAGTAACATAGTCAATATGTTGCGATGGTTACAATGTTATGATAGCAAGAGTTACTAATCAACATAAGCAATCAGTTGCTGTGTTATAGCTGTAGACTACCTTACTCCTGATTGTAGTAACCGCTCTTGAGTACTTAAGGAAGGTCTAAGACTGGATCTGTTCTGTAGCTTTTTGCCTTGTAATTATTCAAGACTTTAGATTGATCCGATTATTATAAGCTTTACCTTATACCCCGACTCTATCCCGTTCCGCCTTCGTCTTCTCTCGCCTTCGTCCTGTTCCGATCACATTCTGTCCCAACTACATCCGTCCCGACTCCGTCCTGTTCTGACCCTTGACCTCCGAACTAGCCAACAAGCCTGACATGCACATCTTTGCCGAATGCAAGGCGGCTACTAAATTCAGGAACTGTGCAGGATCGCACAGATCAGACAGCCGAAGATACTTGGCTCGACCTACAAAATCTAGTCCGCCCACATAAGAACAGCTTGTGACCATTCGACAAGCTAGCCAGCGGGAATACAGCGCCGTGGCTAGAGCAGAAGTGGCGATAAATCTAGCAAACAAAGCATCAGCCAGTGCCATCAAGAGCCAAGAGATCCTGAAGAGGACGGCTACCAGCACAGACGCACCAGATGCATCCATGGTTGATGCGTCAGGCTTTTGGGCTCTAAACCCTGAAGAAAATTTGTAAGGGCCGCCCACAGGCCCCGACTTGCGCACCTTCTACCCTCAAATACATGTCAATAAACGTTGGTAGAAGCTGCGCAACCCACGACATTGTACTTTCCCGGGCTCACAAGCTAGGTGTAGATGTTGTACATATACAGGAACCTTTATGGGATAGAAATATGAAGGATACTAGGTCGCACACAGGATATAATAGATACATACCTCATGGGGGCGTGGATATCAGACCACGAGCGGCGACATACACTCGAAAAAGCAAGGTAATAACTGCAACGCAGACATTTCCCTGTGCTACATTAACAGGGGACTACTGCTGGGTAGTGGTTAACGGAGTCACATTTCTAAATGTGTACAAAGCACCAAACAACCCAGTGTCTCTACGACCACTTGTGGACTGGACCCCATCGGCAAAGACTATTGCTGTAGGAGATTTCAACTCAGTTCACAAGGCATGGTAGCCGGGGACAACTCGCCCACATGGACAAGGGGAAGCGATAGAAGAATGGGCCGACAAACACAAACTTTCCTGCCTTATTATTGGAGAACCAACACACAGAGCAGGGAACACACTGGATCTTGCCTGGTCCAATATTGACGGAACTCTCGCGTGGGTAGACCGCAGTGAATGTATGACAAGCGATCATCTAC